ATGCTCGAAGGTTAAGCTTCGCCTGGTATAAAGACATCCCTGGCCGCGCGCAAGAAACCAAAGCTGATTACCAGCTGATCGATAACCGGGCGACGTCTTCGTTCTTCCTTTCTTCGGAATCTCTGTGTCTCCAGCTTCTTCCACGAAATTTATTCTAATTGAGGAAAGTTCAATTTCAGAAGGCTTCAATAGGTTTTCATTTACGATTCTGATCTTTCTTTTCTCTGTTGAAAATTGTATTTGAGATATCATTTCTTCCGAGTTTCCAATCAAGATAAATTCAAAATAAAAATAAAATAAATAAATAAAATAAAAATAGAGATGTCCGGTGGACTTTTTTTTTTTTAAATACTATGTGGTATTTTTAATATAATATAATATTTAATAGTTAATGTTATATTTATAATATTTAATTTAATAGTTTAATATAACTTTTAATAAATTAATGTAAATTAATTCCATTATTTTCATCCGAATATTTCAAAATTGCAGAAAATTGATGTTTCCTCGAACATTCGCCAATTCTGGTACTCAGAAAATTTACATAAACTTTGTTTCCTTTTCTTTTGAGTTTCAGTGCTTTCCAATCAAGATAAATTGAAGATAAAAATAAAATAAATAAAATAAAAATAAAAGATATAGATTGAGATGTCCGGTGGACTTCTTTTTTTTTTTTTAAATACGATGTGATATTTTTAACATAATATAATATTAGTTTAATATAACTTTTAATAAACTAATGTAAATTAATCTCCATTATTTTCATCCGAATATTTTAAAATTGAAGAAAATTGATGTTTCCTCGAACGTTGGCTAATTCTGGTACTTAGAAAATTTACATAAACAACATCTTCTCTCGAGCAGCCCCTAACGAATTTCCTTTGCTCTTTATCTGCATCTAATCCAATTTTTAGTGGCTGCAACGTGGAAGGAGGAACATTTAAATCCATTTCCTTCCGAGATCCAATCGAGTAAATATGTCGAGGTAAAAATAAGGGGTAGAAGGGAAGAAAGATCTTTCGTGAATGATGAACAAGCTTGAATGGGAAAGGAGAGGAGAGAGGGTTTCGTTGAGAGGGTGAAAGTCGAGACTTGAAAGCGAAAACATTCGAGACATCGAAGTTTCTTTCTGTATTGACTGAAAAGCGCCATTCCATCCCTACAATGTGTCCTGTCCTCACTATATTCGGTTAGAATTATGAAAGGGAGAGACAGAAACGTTGTTGAAAAGGAATCATTGATGTTATTTTGCTACGATCGTGACAGGGATGGAAGAAATTTTGTAGGTAAATATCAGTTGTTCCTGGAAAAAAAAATTTATTTATTAAAACATATTTATTTTTATTATAATATAATTTATATAATATAATTACATTAATAATAATTACATTATTCTAAATATAATTTTTATTAAGTTACGTATTCTGCAAATTCTTTCACTCTCAAATGTGAAAATCCATAGTCTCGTTTTAATGACAAATTCTCGCGAAAATGGAAGTAGCGAAGATTTCATAATCATCTTTCGACTTCTACATTTAGTTCAAGTGTGCATGTATGCACGTGTGCTTTTAACTCTGATAATCTCTTAAAAAAAAGATCTGAGGATAGAGAAGGGGAAAGAATACGTTCACAAACTTTTTTCAACGTTGATTTAACCGAATTAAACTCGTATTTCAGAGTGTGCGTTACGACGTAGAAGCGTTTTTGCAAAGAGCTCGTAATGACGATGAAAGAAAATCCATACGGAAAGTAAACGGCGATCGATAGTGGTGAGAAAAGGTGGCGGTGATTTATTTTTCTCTCTCTCTCTCCTGTAAAAGCAATATACGTGTCCAACAATTTCCAAGAACTCATAAATGGCAATCAGATTGTATCCCGTGAAATTAAGGTCAAGTTAAGCAAAGCATTATAGGATCTCTCTCCAAGCCCTTGCCACTTCCTGGATGGGGGTTGAAACAGGCCTGTTACTCGGCTGCCAATCGCAGCTCGGCCGCTCGATCCAATTACTCGACCTGTCTGTCGTACTCGAGAGAACACTGAAGTTACTCTCGCGCATATTCTCTCTGCTTATAGTGTGTCGTAAAATTACGAACGATAGAACTGAATTACAATAAAAGTGAAATAAAACTGGATATCTGCGATAGATTTATCATAAATTAAATTAAGTTAAATTAGATTTGCATGATAAATAAAAAAAAAAAAAAAATGAAATCATATTAGTAATAGTATTTTCACAATATTTCACGATATGAAAATAGTAATATAGATTTTTAAAAAAAACATCTCTTATTAGAAAGTGTGAGAGTGTCTGCAAATAATTTTTGGAACCACTCGTATGTGTCTCAACTTCTCGTGTCTCTCCAAAAAATCCGGATGATTCAACACTCGTTAAGTAATAAAAATCTCCAAACAATTTCGTCACCCGTTAGACAAGCGCGCACTGATGCACGCGCAGAATATGGGTCATTTAAATTGATCGCGAAATTTCAAGTCCTATAAAATTGCCACTGCCGATTGGATATCACCGGCGGTGTAACGCGATTGGTTCTAGTTTCGCGTTCCTCCTCCCACTTTTGCTATCGTATCTCAACTCTGTAAACGTGTACATTGCGTCTACGTCTCGTTCTATACAGAGTCTATACTTTTTTTCCTCGTTTTCGTTCGTTTCTCGCGACGGTGTTACTCCGTTGCACGTTGTTGTTTTTTCCTTCCTTTGTTTATCACCTCTCCTCGTTGCCCCTGCCTCGTCGTGATCCCACCACGCTCGGACGCGTTGAAACCGTGACATTGAGACGCGAAGCATGTAACAGTTCCGGACTTTCGTAGCTAGAATAATCGAGTCTGCGGCGTTCGGTCCGCTCCCGTATTCCCGGGGCCACGTGTTGCTTCGTCTCGGCTCGTGCCTCTTCGTGCATCTCCGGCTCGCTCGGTCTCCAAGTAGAAAAGTTCGATTCGTGGTCAGACAGGGTGACGCGGCCTTCGAGACTCACTGTTGGTGTGTCGTCTTCTCCCAGTTTTGCGATTTTTTTATTTTTAGATTCTTCGTTTTTCTAGTGTCTTCCAGTGTTTCTAGGCCCTGGTTATAATTCTATTATTGTTTACGATAATGATTATTTGTCTCCACTCTCGACTTTGACCCATCCTCTCGTCTCCGCTAATTGACAATCAAACCGTCGCGCGGTTCCCTCGATCTCCATTGTGGTCATCAATTAGAATTCGACTGGTTCGACCGATAATTGCGCATGCGTAGAGGGCTCGGTGACTACATACAGCTTGATAATATCATCTCAGGCTTCTTTTTTCTACAATTCTCTCACTTACCAATTATCCATTTGCTACTGTAGATTTCTGTGACTATATTTTTAACAAATTGATTTCCCAGAGACACGCAGTGCATTTAACTATTTATTCATAAGACTATAATATAATCATAGATACTTATTACAAAACTAGTATTTTTCAGTACGATTTAATTATTCTTAACGTTATTATTTCGAACGCGAGCATCTTACCAACGAAAGCCAACTGCGCACTCCAAACTTGTCCCGGAGCCAAAATTCCCAACTCCTGCTGCATTCTGAAACAATGCCCACTTTCACAACGGAGCCAAAAGTCCCTCCGGTAGCGCGTGGAACCATGATAAATAATCACCAGTGTCAGTTTTTGCGTTCCTTTCGTACAGTCGACGATATTTTACGCAATAAAACGCCGAGACTCCTCGATCGAATCGTATTAACCTCCCTGGCATCCAACCACTCTCCTGTGGTGACCGTCTTGCGTTGGTCCTTCCTAATCAACCTATTAATATCACAGTATGGCTGGCTTCGACAACACACGTCGAGGGTAATCGATTGTCCCGATAATATAGATTGCGCTTAGTGATTGGCAGTGTCTAATTTTGGATCTACGGCGCAGGAGCTCACCCCGGAGTCTTTGTACCGTATAGAACTACGTGGGCGAACACGAAGAGACACGCGGTTTACGTGTACCACTTGGATTTGCCCTTTTCGGATTAAATCAGCGATCGTTGACCATCGAGAAATTAATATCGAACGAGAGTATTAATCTAGACCTTTGTATATACATTGTTAATGTTTCTGCTGTTCTCATTCTTTTCCACTGCTCTTCGTATTTCATTTACAGCTATTATATTTGTAAAGTTTGGAAATTTATGTAGTTGACAAATTTATGAAATTTGAACAAAAATTTGGACAAAATGTTGAAAAATAACGAGAGGTTAAAGTCGAACACTATAGGTCTTGCAGATAGACTAGCACACTTTATGTCTACCCTTCCCTCCCAATTGACAAATTTATGAAATTTGAACAAAAATTTAGAAAACATGGAAAAATAACGAGAGATTAAACATCGAATGTTAGAAGGTCCTGTGAATATACTAACACACTTTGTGTCTACTCTTCCTTCCCAATTGACAAATTTATGAAATTTGCACAAAAATTTAGAAAACATTGAAAAATGATAAGAGATTAAACATCGAACGTTAGAAGGTCCTGTGGATAGACTAACACACTTTGTGTCTACCCTTCCCTCCCAATTGACAAATTTATGAAATTTGAACAAAAATTTAGAAAACATTGAAAAATAACGAGAGATTAAACATCGAACGTTAGAAAGTCCTGTGGATAGACTATAACACACTTTGTGTCCACCCTACACCTGCTCCCTGTAATTTTCCTCGCTTCGTTTCAGTCGTCTTGCATTTAAAATCAGTTGCTCGAAGCGCGTATAATTGCGCGCGAGTCATCTGCTGTAACGACGACGGCGCACGTCGAAAATTCCTAATCATCGTCGGGGGCTTATATAATCGCGCGGAACACCGAGCGCGCGCGTTGCGTTGAATTTAGTCGGCAGTGGCGGCCATGTTGGAGTCTGTGCGCGGCTCTCGGTATCGAGAGAGTGGAGGAGAAGGGTCCGTCCCCGGTTCTCTCTCGGCGGTAATCGACTCTCGACGATGTTGCTGGGTGTTGGGTTAGGTGGGTGGTGTTACAGGGTCGTCTGTGGATGTTGTGTGCGCGGGTGTCAAGGGGAACGAGAAAGAAGAGGTAGAGAAGGTGCCCTCCTAGTGATGACGACCCCCTCTCCAGTCAACTAGCGGCGAGTGTGGAGTGTCGAAGAAGGAGAATGAGAGAGAGAGAGAGAGAGAAAGAGAAAGAGAAAGAGAAAGAAAGAGACAGTGTGCACGAGTGAGGTAGAGGGAGAAGGTTTAGGTGTCTAGGAGAGGAGCAAAGGATAGAGAGAGAGAGAGAGAGAGAGAGAGAGCGAGTTAGCGTTGTGGAGGGACACGAGAGGAGAGGTGGCACGACAGGGACAAACGAGCCACGACCGAGAAAACGACGCAGGAGCGCGCAGGTGCGCTTTCCTCGCGCGATACGTTGTTGTTTTACGAGACAACGGGAGAAGCCGACCGCGCGCGCGAGATACTTGAAGGCGCGTTTACATTGCGAGTCAGCCTGCGTGATCACAAATATCTCGTCCTTTTGTTTCCCTTTCCCTTTGTTCGTTCGGATTCCTTATCACTTTTCTTTTCTCTTTCTTTCTTTCTTTCTTTCTTTTTTTAACCCTACGTATACTGTCTACCTCGTTTTTCAGTTTGACTCGTGTGTACTCTGTCTTTCTTTCGACTCGATCGTAGTAACGCGTTTTCCCCGACTGGTATACTTTTGGTATCGCGTGGTGATGTGCCGTAGACGTTATTACTCTCGGCGTTTAATGTGTTGATCGCTGTCGTTGTCGCATCACGGGGTGGTGTCGCGAGAGAGAGCGAGATCATATCACGATAGCGTGTCAGTTTTCGCGTTACGTTGCGTATGCACCTCTCTTTAGTCCGCTTCCCGTCGTAGCCGCGGTGTGTTGCGTGTGCCCGCTGCGCGCTGTTGTGGTCGCCGTGGCTGGTGTGTCTCGTGTGTCCCGTGTGTCCCGTTGCTGCACCGGTCGAGCACAGTAACGATGACGAAAGTGTGAACTCTCTGCAGCGGGTAGAGTGGTGGTGAGAACGGCAGTCTTGTTTGTTGGCAGTGGAGGAGGTGTTCTAAGATTAAAGTCGGCCCCAGGTTCCGTCCACCTGGCAAGGGAGGCTGCTGTTTCTTCTTTAACTCGTTCTCTGCCCCTCCTTCCTTTCGTTTCTTTTTCTCGCTCGTCCCACCTCTCCTCTCTCTCTCTCTCTCTCTCTCTCTCTCTCTCTCTCTCTCTCTCGCTCTTGGCAAAAGGAACGTTTCTCGCGTCTCCTTTCGGTCTTAAGGTCGTGTCACGTCTCTTTTCGTTTCTTAATTTTATCTCTCGAATCATTTAATATTTCGCGGTATTAGGTAATAAGTATTTTGTAACAGAGAGAGAAAAAGAGGGGGGGGGGGATTATTCTTGGAATAAAAATCGCTATATACGACGTGCGACGGTTTGAAATAGCAGCCTTGCTTGATTTTTTTTTTAATCGTTTGTGGTATTCGAACGCAGCATCGATTACGCAGATGAATATCGACGAACAGCCAACACAGTGTCCAGCTGACGTCACGTCCAACACGTATGATTTATGTGCCAAGTTACAGATATATACGGTTTTAGATTTACGCGATTTACAATTATGCAAATCGTAATTTATACGACTCCGTGCGGCTGAAATAACTTCCCCCCTAGATTCCGTTGCTCGCTGAAGTCTCTCGGTCGATCGAGCGGTGCGTCTACTTCTTCAACTAGTTAAATAATTAATGTGCATGCTGCTTGAGTAATTGGGTATGGATATCTCTTCGTAAGCATAAAAAAAACGATCGTTCTATGTAAAAAAACGTATCGAACATGTACTTAGGACGACGTATATCTTAATTAGACGAATATGATAAAATATGTAAAAGAAAAAAAAAAAAAAAAAATATGGTAAAACCGATAATGTTCTAATTGTTCCAAATTACTTGTATTCAGAATTTTTCTTCGGTACTTTTCAAGTAATATTTCCTTCTAACGACTGTAATCGTCAATGAACCTTTTCTCAAGTCTCACGGAATCGTAAAAATTCAAACGAGAGGAAAAAAAAAAACCAATTACGACACCGTGTGCCCTTGCATCATCGTCATCGCCTCGAGCGTGAGAACTCCATTCATAATTGCTAATTAGCGATCGATAGTGGCTGCTTTTGATCAAAAGGGTGAGCCATACAGGGCGTTCCATTATCAGCGGTAGCACACTTTTGGAAATAATGAATTCTCAAAGTTACAAAATGATAATTTCGATTTAATTTAACATTTTACAAATAGTTCGATTACTTTGTTTTTTTTTTTTACTTAGATATTGTAAAATTTAAAAGGTGAAATTCGAACGATTTATATTTTTGCAATGTTCTTTTTATCTTGGCCTATATCTATTTTGTGTAAAATCAATTGACTGTTCAAGGCCATTTCCCCTTCCCCTGCTGGACGTGGAAGTCGCAAGTCGTTCATTTAAAATTATTTCTCATTTACTTACACCGAATAATTTCAGTATTCTTATATTTACAATTAAGATACTTAATAATTTCAACACGTCAGTGTGACCAATATAAAAATATACTCGGTTATTAATACAGTTTACAATGTAATTCTACTAATTATTAAAAAACTGCATAATTCGTGACTACTCTAATCGTCCGTGTCCCAACTATTGAAATTTATTGCTTACAATTACATATTACCCTCATATCTATTATTTAACCAATAACATGCTATTATATCATAATTTAATGAAAATTGTCATCCCAAATTTATCATCCCAGCATTGTATCAATCAAAAAGAAAGGCGTCAGATACGAAGTGTGAACCATATCTGGAGAACAAGTTCAACAGATCGAAATTAACTGTTTAATCTAGATTTGTAGCATCGAATGAAACGTCCTGTATATGGTGGGCATTCGATAAAAGTAAAAGCACACGTGTGCGAATAGCAGGTGGCGCGTGTGATGGCTTTACTCTCTCTCTCTTTCTCTCTCTCTTTTCTCTTCCTTTCTCTCACATACATTCACTCACTTACTCACTCACTTGTCCAGAGATCGATGGAAATACAGGGACGGTAGTGCGCCGCGCGCATTCAATAATTAGTGCTAATTATATTTCACGCGAAGGTCGCCCACGGAAACAACTAAAAGCGGCGCCGTTTCTTCGACGTGTATTCGATAGCCACATACACCTTGGGAATCGATCGCGTTCCCGATGCGCTGACCTATATCCATCCCGTGTACCCCTGGATATCCGTTGCTGCGAGACACACCGAGGCTGTGTTCCGTCGATGCGTGAAAAAGGAAGCTCTTTTTCTCTTCCCGTTTTACGTTTAGAAACGTAAAACCAGTTGAGACTTTCGCGTAAACACGGGTCTCTCGCTGTTTCAGATAATATGCTGCTCACAAAAAATTAGGGGATATTTCAAAATGAATATGAAGCGAATAAAAAAGAGAAGCATTTGATTTTTTTTCTCATTAAACAAGAACATTAAAAAGAGAGAGAAACAAGTTGCTCAAAGAAAGTTGCTCTTGTTTAATAATAAAAAAAATCAAATGCTTCTCTTTTTCTTATCGCTTCATATTATTCATTTTGAAATACCCCTAATTTTTATGAGCAGTGTATCCATATGTCTTCATTTATATTGTGTTTATATTCACTTTACATGCAAGTGTACATTCCACTGAATGTGATTGAGAATCTTTCACAAAGCAAAATTCCAAGAAACGTGCACAGCGAAATTAGATCAGATTTGAAACTCGGTTCCGGAAACGATCTCGTTCGTGCTCGAGGAAACTGTGGAACATGTATGTCGTTACTTTGGAATAAGAAATATTTCGCTCTCCTCTCCCTCGAATGTTTCTGTCGGATCTGTGTGAGAAATAATGACGGAACATTGAAATGAAATTCCGTTCTGTGTGAAATTCGATCGAGTTCAATTTACGTGCGTGAATAATTGAAACAGAGAAATGTCTTCTTCCGGCTCGCGTATCCGTGAAATCGCATTCCACCGTGTTTCCAAATGAATTCGCATAGCTGTTGTTATGGAAATTGAACTTTACGCAAGAATTTTCGTTCCTCGATTAAATCTACATTTATTCGAATATTGGGAATAATGTTACTCGATAGAGCATTGATAATGCATCCCAATAGAGTCGAACTTTAAATACACTTCAAATTCACAAAAATTAGGGAATATTTCACGATGAATATGAAGCGATAAAAAAAAACAGAAGCATTTGATTTTTTTTTTTTTTTTTTAATAAATAAGAACAACTTTCTTTGACTTATCGTTTGCTTTTCTAATGTTCTTGTTTAATGAAAAAGAAAAAAAAAAATCAAATGCTTCTTTTTTTTATCGCTTCATATTCAGTTTGAATATGAATTTATCCCCTAATTTTCGCGAGTAGTATATTTAACGATAAGTTACGGTCGAACCTTGAGTTTGAGATTAGGTACTTACGACGTATTTAAGATAATATTAATTTAATCGATTCGTACTATTTCATTGAAACTAATGTTAAATTTAATCAATTCAGTCGGCTGTTGTACACGTTGCAGGACAGTTGTTCATTCCTAAATTAAGGTACACTCCGAGTATTTAGATATTGCTCTAACGTCTATATATCGTCGGAAACGTCGTTACAGAACATTACGTAAACCTTCGTTTCGCAACAAAGTGCGTGGTCAAAATTATCTCTAAAAAACACCTAAGCCCGCGACTGTGCTTGAAAAAATATCGGTGACCTTCGCGCGCTTGCCGCGCGACTCGCAAACGATCGGTGCTCTATTTTTGCTCTTTCACCCTATACACGTTTCTCAGTCATACAGCAAACGAAAATATTTCCAAACGGTAACGCGTTATTTCCAATGACCGATACGTTTGTGACGTCTCCTCTCGTATATATAAAAATTCTTTTGTAATGTTCGAGTACTCTCGTGATTCACTGTAAAAATTTTCATAAACGCCCGGCTATAAGTCTACTGATAATATTAGTTCAGTTGTGCAACTAGGAGCAGCCTGTTCTCATCTCGTCTCGTTAAGGTCACGGGATCAAAAAGATAAAACGTGTCCCTAGACGACCTAAATCGTCCAAATAATCCTGGGCTTTTTCTCTCGCTCGCGGCACACACACAACCACGCAAACTCATAATCTCGATGCGTACGCATCTACATTTGAACGCGTGCAAGTGTGTTGTGTCAAAATGGTGGTGGTGCGTCGAGTGTGCCACTTTTCCTCCTGTACTCCTCCGGTTTCGAGGTTAGGTGGACAACACATTTACGCCGTGGCCCAGCGCCACGCAGCTTGGCACAGCTTTTTCGGCCAGTATTGTGTAACACCGTCCGCCCGTTAGTCGCTCGTGAGGCACCTTTACAAGCGCAATGTCGTATCGTCAGTCTAGTCGCGTCTAGTTCTTCACACGATGTCGTCCCAGACTGCGGACTTTTTTTTTTCTGATCCCGCCCGCGAACGCGACCGATTCCACCGAGTCACTTGCAGTTCGATGCACAGTGCCATACACAAAGGACAGAGAGAGAGAGAGAGAGAGAGAGGGAGGGAGAAAGAGGGAGAGAGAGAGAGAGACAGACAGAGAGTCTCTTTGATAACAGAAATCGATTGACTTCGTTCGGTTTACTAATCGTAACACACACACACAGGACACACAGGCACACATACACACAGTGGTTGCTCGTAATTCTTTTAAGGGCTCGTTAATTGGTGCATATACATAGTTTGAAGGTCACTCCTTATGTGTTCTTCTGTGTGATCTAATGTGGTCTAATACTACTTTTTTAAAGTGAACTCGATTTGAATCGATTAAAGTACACTGATGACTACAACTATTAGGACACATTGTTATTATTATTAGTCATACGTTCGACTCATAGTCTGTGACTTGTACAATTCCATTATTGAAATCCAATATTGAAAGAACGTAGCTATCCAAACTAACGGTGTATGTATCTAAATTTGTCACTGTCTGACACAGTGTAGTCTGACAGTTTGTGTAATATCAATTGGTAATA